GATTTACCAGTACCTTGATGTTAACTTGAAATGAGACCATGAACTGAGCAGAAATATGCAGAAATTGTACACAGTTCATGCTTACACCGATTATTCTATTGCCAGGATTTTAGGGGACAGTTTGGATTTTGTGAAGTGGGGTTTTGTGGAGTTGGTACCAGCTATTGGTTATTTACGTACCTGCAGTAGACATCAGTTTGACTGTTCTTGGAATGGAGAGTCAGTGAGACGTTATTGTAAGAGCCAAGCTGGCASTTAGTCCATTTCCAAATTATATTTCTGCTGTTCTGAATTAACTTAAACCTCAAAAATGTATTTGCAGTTCAAGGAAATGCAAATTTACAAATCTTAGGAACACTGTCATCTTTGATTTAGCTGGCTATTTACATAGAAGACTGTAATTATAGGTGTGGTTGTGGTGAGTGGGAATGGATGCAMAACTCACATGAGTGGGGGTCTCATAAGTGGGCCTATTGCTCTCCAGCCCATTGACCAGCTGTAAGCTTGTTTCAACCATCAAAGCTTTTCTCTCTGATTCTCCAAACAGAGATTATTAGACTGCCATCTACAGCAGGTGAGTTAATGACTGCGGAGAACAACTCCACAGAACCCTACCTCAACAAATCCAAARTATCTCTTTAAAGCATGTGCAGTAGAGCTTTCTGTGCAACACTAGTAGAATGAACAGTGATGAGAGAAAACACATACTGGTTCCTGGTCTGATGTCAGACATGTCTATCAAAGGACCTGTGTTTTGGATGAGGGCAGGGTGATGGACAGATACACCAGTGCAGAAGCTCTGAGGATTCCCAGTTTGGTTGAACTCTGTGTCTGTCACAGGGATAGTAGCCTTGTCGTCACCTTGAGACAAAAACAAGTTTTCTTTTCAGCACCCATTCGATGAAACAATCCTGTGTAGATGCATTAAAATACACAAGAAAGTTTCTGGGTTTTTTTTCTCTCACCAATTTGCTTGATGCCCTCTTTGTCCTCAATTAGCAACTGCACTCTGGGGATGTCGATGTGTAACCGTGGGCCCTGAGGAGGTCCTTTCACCGGCGTGTCAAAGCTGCGGTTGTTTTTACTAATCCAGAAACACAAGATTAGCATCCACAATCAWTTGTGGYTTTAAGAAAACACAAACTTGCATGGATGATTTTAAGATTTTAGATTGATTTAGTTAGAGGGACCACAGGAAAATATCTTACCTGATCAGCATCTCTGCCAGGCTTTTAGCATCTAAAATAAAGCAGAAGATATGAAGAAATACACTTTTTCCAYTATAAAAGCAAGCGAAGCAACAGAAATGAATTAAAAWTTTTTCCTCTCAATTTATTCACACCATCTCTTCTGACCTCATCAATGTTTACTCACCTCTTAGTCTTTTCAGCCTCTTCTCTTTGCGTTTCTTGCGAATGATGAAGAGCAGCGCAACGCCAAGAGTGACCAGAATCACAGGGGAGCCAATAGAAAACAGCTTCTTTACGTCGTCATTTTTTTTCAGAGGGGATTTAATGGGAGCAATTGTGCCTGTGCAAACCCAGACAGACGACACTTAGAAAACTTGAACAGCTTTATTATCAGGTGCTTTGTAATAAAATAATAATAATAAAATAAAGCAGTTAACAATATCCTTTATATAAATATTATGAAAAATAATTTTCTACTCACTGCCGTCATAGTCCAGTGTTGCAAACTGGGAGCTCTGGTTGCCACAGCCTGCACTGTTACATGCTTTCATCTTCAGCTCATACCAGGTGGCCTCCCTCAGCTCTGCCAGAAACACATCTGCAGTGACGTTGGTTCGCACAGTCTGCCACATCCACGTTCCTGCACAAGAACACACACTAACATCAACTCAGCTTCCGTAGATAAAATATGTTAAATATCTCAATGTTTGAATCCATGTTGTTGAATTGAAACTTTAAGGTCAATCTAACCACCCACCTTTTGGTCTAAACTCCAGTGTGACAGCAGTGATTGGACAGCCTCCACTGGCCCAACCCTGCAGGTTGAGGCGGGCGTGGCTGGAGTTGATGTAGGTGAAGACAGGCTGGTCCTTGTTGAACTGAGGCTCTGAAAATGCAACAATTGTAATGCATCTGTCCACAAATCAGGTCACGTCTCTGCATTTTGATGCAATCAAACACTGTAGCCACATGTTCACTGACACGATTGAGTTCTCATCACTTTTTTATGAGCAGCCACAGCTTTGAGGTCAAAGCTGGTAAAACATTTCTGACTTTTTCTGATTTTAAAGAAACTTCCAGTTGTTTTTTCCCCCTCCTGATTTCTCACAGCAGTTTTTGCATCATTTCCTTTTCTTGATATATGTAACCCTGGTTTTCAATYGAGTTAGTGTTGTTTTCTGTTCATGTCTTTATGGATGTGTTATCCTGTATACATTTAGATGAGATTTGCTTGTGTACTGTAAAGTGATAACTGAAAACAAAGATCCTAACTGAATTGTATTTCAATTCAGTCAGTTTTGCTTTTTGTTTTGCGATTTTTAAATGTCTTTACTTGTGTTAACCCAGACAGACAATTTTTCTGTTTAACCTTCTTACCTCTTCCATGAGTCTTCGCCTCAATGATCTCACTGATGCGACCAGCACCAACGCTGTTCTTGGCAGCCAACTTGACTTTATACCAGGTCCCGCATCGTAAGTTGTCCAATTTAAAAGAACGCTCACTAGAACTGATGAAAGCATCCTTCCACTCCTCTGTATTGTCCACAGAGTACTGTAGAACAAAACCTGCATGAAAAGAAAGCCATTTCTTTTGTTTAGTACACCAGGCCTTCCAAACTGCATGGCAGTTGTACCTCTACTTTCCACCAGATGGCAGTGAAAGACAGTTTTCTTGCCCTCGCCCAGTGACGCTTCCCTGGGATGACAGTCTTGCTGCTCTCCATCTACGCCGCCAATAATTACCTACAAACCCAAAGCCTGGGATGGCGCTGACTGAGCATCTATGCAAATGAGGGTTTGCAATATGGTGACTGTTTATATATTCAGCTTCCTCTGCGAGCCAGCTCCCTCCTGCTCTCTGAATCTTTRCATCTAATTTTCTCTGTCTTTCCTCCTGTTTGTACATAATTATGCATATATGAATGTTTATCTGCTTGTGTTTTTTGTGTTTTTATATTTTTAATCCTACATTTCTCTCTGTCAAATAGTGTGATGGAGTCCACCTAAAGATTTGATTGGTTAGCATGTGCAGATTGAGCTGTCTTTGTGGCAGAACAGAATGGCACAGGTTTAGAACAGAGCAACACAATAGGAGGCTTTTGTGTAACTAATTTGAAAGGTAAAACATTGGTTTCATGTGTTGGATTGTCAGATTAGCATATCAATATCTGCATCGGGGTATTTTCATTTTTTTTCTACAAAAGCTGAAAGAAAAGAAATCTTAGGCTTAATGTGTGTGCACCAATACCACTCTAGAAAGAGTGCAACAAACATAATGAGATACTTCAGCATTGCCCAGATGGCCACACAAACAGGCAGGCATTCTGATGTTCACACAAGCTATACAGAAAGGATTTATCCATACATGAGGCGCAGGATGACGTATGCAAATCCAAGTTGGTGGACCGTCAACGCATGAATGCAAAGCTGCACATCCAGCATGTTGTTATTGCTTTCCATTTGCTTGRGCATAATGCATGCAAAAATTAGCATTTTTCTGGGATTTTTGGGGCAATTTTGTTACTGACACGGACAAACTAAAAACCTCTGTGTCAGCTTACTTACAGATTTTGCAGTTTTTTACAATCACATAAAAACCTACAAAAACATCAGCTATACTTTGAACACTAACATTAAAACATGGCTGCTGCTTGATTATATAATTTAAATCAGAAGTGCCCAAAGTGGGGCCCGTGGGCCAAAATTGGCCCATCAAGAAATTTGATTTGGCCCACCAGTAGTTGTTTACAAGGTTGTAATCTCCTGTTGTCCTCTGTAGAAACACTGTATTTCCACTATACTAGGGCAGATAGTTTTCACTCATGGTGCTTAATTTATCTTTGAATTATACTAGTATTAAACATGAAATACAAGTAACTACAAAATTAATTTAAATTTGATTTAAGCACATGTAGATTTTCATTCTTTATACAAACACAAATATATCAAATTATCAATTTAGGAAATGTCCCATGAGTCTTTGCTGCCCAAGCATATGTCAAACTTTCTTCAAGTGCATGGTCTAAAAACAAACCAAAAAAAKAAACAAACATGGGTTACCACACTGACTGCATTTTTAATCTTTAAAAGATAAAATAAAAGGACCTTAATAAAAAAAGGTTTTGTTTTTCATGTGTTTTACAGTATTATTAAAGTTGGCCCACAGCCGTCAGATAGATTTCCATTTTGGTCCCTTCAAGAAAAAAAAAAGGTGTGGGCACTCCTGATTTAGATTATAAGAGCAGCACAGAATCAGACTGATGAATCTGTAAAGACCCTGCAGGATAACAACTAAAGGTAGAGGAAATACATTTGCATGCCCATTCAGGCTCACACATTGTAGCTATCACACAGAGGGATCACCAATAATCAAACAGTCAGAGACACACAGTCAACAGAGAAACATAAAACAAGGACACCATTCAATAAACTAATAGATCAAACAGGTAAAAGACACATCAAAGGTAGACAGGAGAGAAACAAGGGCTTGACTGATGTGTGAGCTACAGATAACAGGAATATAATGCAAGTGTAGGTGACTCGCCTCTGATGGAGCTGCCTCCATTATCTCCTGGTATCCAGGCGAGGGTAATAGAGGAGGTGGAGGTGGTGGACACAGTTAGACGAGGCTGATCTGGAGGAACTGAGACAATGATGAAAGGATTTGACATTAACACCTGCTTTAATACACTAAACATATTATCTTTTACAAATCTGACACTACCTTGCACCAAGAGATTGACTATAATGGTGTCGAAGCCCAACGTGTTGGTGGCCGTGCACGTGTAATAGCCAGAGTCTTCGGCCTTGACGGAGCGCAGCACCAGTGTCCCGTTAGCCAGAATGAGACGCTGTCCATCAACAGACACTGGGATAGCTGTGTCCTCACTAACAGACAGAGAATGAGCAATTATCACCATAAGAGAGGGAAATCATTGATTTTGCTAAATGTCACACAATAGAAACAACTTCCCGCTGCAACTGAACCAAACTTTAACTTAAAGTTACTATAAAATTATAACATAGTTTTTGTCACCTGTCTTTAGTCCATTTTATGGTTGGTGTTGGTTCCCCCACAGAGCTGCAGGGCAGCCGCACCTCTTTCATCCAAGGAGTTGTAACTGTACCTCCAAATGACAAAATTTTGGCGGGAGCTGTTGGAGGTTGGAAAGAGGGAAAAAAATGACAGAGGAACAAAGGCAACAGACATTCTAAAAGAAAGACAACCTGAGCTTTTGACAACAAAGTAGGATCATAATATAAAAGGTCAGTAGTCTAATTAAAAGGCTCTAACCAGATAATCCATGGCAATCTGTTAGAACTCTTTGAATCAATAATATTTAAGGTAGGAATTCATTTACTTTCTATTTTTTTCAGTATGCTAGATTAGCTCTAATGAAAAGGTTTTTTTTTTGTGATTCACAGGACAAAAAAAAACCTATCAGTTAAATGTGACGTTATCCAGCAAAAAAGTACAAGAAGAGCATAAGAAAGAATGAGCAGGGAGTACACAAATATATCTATTCATTCAGTCACAAAACCATTTTTTTCTGACTATGCACCACCTGCTTTCTCTTTTTTCCCTTTTACTTGGAGTCTTTGTGCCTGTGCTCTAGTGCACTTATGTTAAGGTTGAATGAAGTATTGAGTGGGCAAACCTGGAGGACACAGGCTTTTTACAGCCGCTGATCAGATGAGGCAGACACCCGTACGAGCACACTAACAAACCTTTGCACTCAGAAGTCAAAGGAACGAACACATAAGGAAAAGGATAATGTGGCGATACGGTGAAGGTGCACTCTGTTCATTTGTATTCCTTTATTCTCCCTTTTAATACAGAGTCTATTGATTTGCAGTGACTGCCTTTCTTGTTTTCTTAAATACTCTGCCTCTTTATTGTGCTGCTCTGTAGTTTACTCTACTCCTGTTGTGTCATTTCCTTTCCCCTCTCACTCCAACTGCTGTCTTTGCTTCCACTCCCCTTTTATCACGTTCCCTGACTGGAGGCATTTTATTTGGTGCACTCTGAACTCTGAAATCAATAGCACACATTTGTAAAGTCCAAATAGGCAGTAAAATGAAACTAAAACAACTTAAGATTACATATGTAAAACAGGAACTTGGTAAAAAGATGAAAGATAATAAAGAAAAAATAGCATTATAAAAGTTTGCTCTTGGATTCACAAGTGTTAATAATAGGTTTTGAGAGTGAACAAAAGTAAAATATAGAAGATGTATAAATAAATTCGTCAAATTTTGTTTGAAAGCTGATTTTCTATATTTGAAGTTAGACTAAGATTATTTTTAGACCACCTTATAGCTACGGGTTTTTGATAGATTCAAATGAAAATGTTAGTATTTCATTAAAAAATGTACAAATTGCAAAAATATACATATATTTTAATGCTTTCATTAAAAAGTTAAATGCTGAAAGACAAACAACTTTATAGTATTTTTGAAAGAGTATGGGCTTCTTTTGTGCTTTTTAATTATCATATTGCTAGAAATAATGACCTAAATATTTGTTTTGCAAACTTGAATTTGTAATGCGGATAAACAAAGATGCTAATTGTTCAAACAATAAAAATGTGTTGCTTGGATAATAAAGGGCTCACTCACCTTTAGCGGCTGGCTCCACCGTCACTTTGTCACTGAAGTTCCCACGGCCTGCAGTGGTGACAGCTGCAGCCCAGATCAGGTACTGCTGCCGGTGGTTGAGGTGGGTGATTCTGTAAAACAGCAGCTCTGGATTGGCTTCATACTCACTTGGCATCTGGTCAAAAAAGAAGGTATTATTACTTCATGACTAATAGTTAACAAGCAATAATACATTTAGGATTTATGACCATAAGCTCAAGAACAGCAGTACAGCAAACATTAAAATAAATAGTTTTGTTTAGATACAGAGGTTGCTGCGTGTGAGTTTTATTTAAAACAAAGGACTCAAAAAGGGATTAATTTGAACAATAATAACTCAGTTTTACAGTTTGAACAATCTTGTTTACTGGATCTCTAGAGAAAAACACAAAAAATGCTTAGGGTTTGTTCTAATCTTTCATTGTAATAGACATCATCACACACTCGAACAGACCATTTTTATCACATTGTGAGACATACTGAACAGTGTGACATTGAACTAATTATAACAGTGGTTGTTATTCAAACTAAATAACACATTTCATTTGCAATTTTACAGACCCATACAACTGTCAGTGTTACCTTTTATGTCATTGATTCTGAAACTATTCAGCTTCTGATTTATAAAACAATAACAGAGAATGGCGGTGACCTAGACTGTCACTGCAGACATCACTAATTTACCAAATAAATGTGGACATTTAACACCTGCTTCAACAAGGAAAAGGTGATCTATAATGCATTTTGTCCCTGTGTGTGTGTGTGTGCAAGTACGTGTGTGTGTACATGTCTTTGCTGTGTTTGTGTGAACCTACTGTTTCTTATGGGAACAAAAGCCCTGTCCATAGGGGAAATACCATTGGTGGGTCAGAGGTTAGGGTTAGAAATAAGGTGTGAATTGAGTTTAGGTTAAGTTTTGGGTCGGTTATGTACCTGTGAGGTTAGGTTTAGGGTAAGGGGTCATGCTATAGAGATGACCGGTAAATGAATGGAAATGAATGGAAGTCAATGCAAAGACCTTCCATCCATCCATTATCTTC